GCTGTTAAGTGCAAATGCCTTATGATATGTATGAGGTGTTCGCCTAGACGGGATGTAATCCTGTGGGCAGGTACGGCATGGGCGCGTACTGTGTGGGTAATAGACGTATTCCTGTATTTCTATGGCCAGTAGGTTAGTTATAACACACATGACATGATTATCTGCTGCATTGCAATGATTTGGAAATGGTATTGTTAAACTGCTTTTGAACTTATATTGCACGTGTAAGTGAGCTTGGGGTGGAAGATCCTTGAGGACCCATTGTCTTATTGAGATTTCTGTTTAGAGATCTCACCCCATGTTTGGGGCGCTTATTTCAGGTAACTTAGGGGCTGATGCCTCTGGCGGCAGGAGGCCAGAGCTTAGTTGACTGTTGTTTATGTTTTCCAGCTTATATTTATGGATTACTGTTTAGCCTGTATTCTTTATGTTGTTGTTTGAGTTGAGACTGTGTTGGACTTTGTTGCTTTAATTGGTGAGCATAGGGTTTGTCCATGCCGCTTTGATGATAGTATCTTTTTAGTCGTGTTGTATAAACTATCAGGATGTTGTCCGGTCTACGTGTTGTAGTTACGTGACTAGAGACACATTTGTGTTATTTATATATTGAGGTATTTCAGTTAGATGTTTTATTGCAATTTACATACAGGCGATATTTTGAAAATGATTAAGTAATCAAGTTGGTAATGAATAATGGGGAAGGATATTGTGACAACCAAGTTGTGTTACTACCAAGTGACTACCAATCAATCTCACCGTTAAATCGATTATGTTGATCCAACGGTTATATTTGTTTACATCTTTGTATGGTCATGATTCCGCAAATTTAATACTTTATATTTATTTTCACCTTTGTATGGTTATGATTTTCCCATATTTAATGCTTTCACTTTAAATATGGGGAATCATGACCATACAAAGATGGAAATAAATATAACCGTTGGATCGACACAATCGATCTAACGGTGAGATTGATAGGTAGTCACTTGGTAGTAACACAACTTGGTTGTCACAATATCCTTCCCCATGAATAATAACGTCATAATTGAAAAGAAAAGATATTCCGCATTTTTAATTAAGCGTAGCTTATTACGATGACATGTTAACAAACCGGGTATACACGGGGTGTTACAGACCTGAATTGAAGATCAAAGAAGAGTTCCTTGATGAACAAATATTGGCTATCAATGTCATCTCGGATATGCAAAGTACACCTCCATGGTTCGCGAATTTTGCGAATTTCAAAGCAACAGGGGAAATTCCAGTGGACTTAACATGGCAACAAAGGAAGAAGTTTCTGCATAATGTCAAGAAATACCTATGGGATGATCCCTTCCTTTTCTACAGATGTGCTGATGGAGTAATAAGGCGGTGCATTCCAAAAGTAGAGATGAAAGACATCTTGTGGCACTGCCATGGTTCAAGCAACGGAGGGCATTTTGCGAAAGAAAGAACAGCCACAAAGGTTTTGATGAGTGGCTTCTACTGGCCAACACTCTACAAGGATGCAAGAAAATTTGTAGAAGCATGTGATAGATGTCAGAGAACGGGGGATATCTCCACAAGACATGAAATCCCCCTCAACAATATACTGGAGGTTGAAATCTTCGATGTGTGGGGAATAGACTTCATGGGACCTTTTCCCCTTTTTTATGGCAACAAATACATCCTTGTTGCTGTGGATTACATATCTAAGTGGGTAGAGGTTGTTCCTCTTCCTTGTAATGATTCTCGGGTAGTCATTGCCTTCCTCAAAAGAAATATCTTTGTCAGGTACGGGGTATCGAGAGCGATCATCAGTGACAGAGGAACTCAATTTGACAACAGACAAGTGGAGTATGTGCTGGCCAAGTGTGGAGTTAAACATAAGACTGCCATACCCTACCATCCGCAAACAAGTAGACAAGTTGAAATATCCAACCGAGAGCTGAAGCGTATACTGGAGAAGACGGTTGGAAGATCACAAAGAGACTGGTCCAAAAAGCTGGATGATGCACTGTGGGCGTACCGAACTGCATTCAAAACTCCAATTGGTATGTCTCTTTTCCAATTACTGTTCGGGAAGGCTTGTCACTTACCAGTGGAGCTAGAACACAAAGCACTGTGGGAAATCAAGTACCTCAGTTTTGACTCCAAGACCGCAGCTGAAAAGAGACTTCTTCAACTAGATGAACTGGATGAGTTCAGGATCTCTGCATACGAGAGCACGAGTCTTTACAAAGAGAAGACGAAGAAGTGGCACGACAAGAAGATCCTACCTCGAGACTTCAAGGTGGGACAACAAGTATTACTCTTCAACTCTTGCCTCCGCCTCTTTCCTTGGAAATTAAAGTCCAGATGATCAGGACCATTTATCGTGAAGAATATGAAGTCATATGGAGCAGTAGAGATCAGTCCGCTGGATTCTGACAGGAGCTTCACAGTCAATGGCCAACGTCTGAAATTATACATGGGAGGAGAAATCGATAGGGGAACAACCACGGTTGCCCTTGTAAAGGTAAAGTGAGTCAGGTACGTCAGGCTCGTGACGTTAAACAAGCGCTACTAGGGAGGCAACCCTGGAATTTACTGTTTTTAAAATTTGTATAGTTTGATTAAGTAACAAAATACAAAAAAATTAGATAGAGATTAAGGTGATGAAGTGATAGTTGAAAAAGAGGACCACCAGCCTTCCAGCCCGAGCCTTATGCTGGATCTGAGGAGGAGGATGCCTATGACGCCGCACTGAGAGGGACTAGCACGTATCCAGCTACTGAGGGCCAGGATGATGAGGATACCGTCATGACACCCGCCATTGTGCGAGATGCAGAGGACGAGGAGGAGCTTGATGAATGATCACTTTAGCTATTTTCATTTTATTTCTGTTTTCTTTTCGATTAATTCTTTTTATTGTTATGGTATGAGATAACCCTGTGATGCAGTATAGTATTTCAACACGGATGACTGATAGTTTTGATTGATGTTGTTTTAGAGGAATCCACTAGTTCCTAACTCTCAACGCGATTATTTTTTTAGATTTAAATCAGTTGCTGGGGACAACAACATTTAAATATGGGAATGAGAAACGCGTAGTTCATCAGTGGGTATTGCTAAATGAACCGGAGAAACTGCATAGTATACACAGAACATCCGGCTAATACATAGAACTATCTCAACCTTTTTCTTTTTCTTTAATGCAATTTGAATTTGACTTTTTTTTTAGAGTTTTAAAATAATAAAAACCCCAAGCCACTATTTTGTGAAAGTTCTGGAAATTTTACTCAGTGCTTTTAAATGGAAAAATGGCGAGAATTTTAATCAGTGATTGATTCAGAGCATGATGATGCACTCACATAAATTTCATAATGAGCATCAATGTAATGATTTTCATGATTTATTGAATATTCTCTTTAGTGATAATTTTTTTTGAGATAAGGAATAGGAAAATTACTGTGCATTCGTAGCCGTGAGGTTTTGAGCCTATACATAATGTTTTTATTGAGTGTGCATCCTACTGTATGAAAGACTCTAGAACTTGCTTTGTTTCTTGCTTGAATTGGTATGTGATATATTCTATGGATATGATTGAGGCATGTTCTTTCTTTAAACTAGATGGCCAAATAGCCCGTCATTGCTAACATTCCTTAGTTAAACCCTTTTGAGCCTAGGCCTGTTTATTCTTTGAAAACCTATGAAGATGAATAAGCCACTTTCCATATAAATCCTCACCTTATTTGAGATTAACTTTCAGATTTGAATTGAGGAACAGATGATAATTAATTGATTACATAATTTATTATGTATGGGAGTACAGGGAAGAAAGGCAAAAGCTAAGGAAATAAGGTTGGTTAGAATGAAAAAGAAGCAAAGAAAGAAAAGGAAAATTACTCAGAAAGAAGAAAACTTGTTCTGAGAAAAGAGAACGACAAACAAGAGAAAAGTTCAAAAGAAGAAGAAGAAGAAGAAGAATGGACTAGAGTTCTTAATCTTAATGCATGTTTTCTTGGGAAATAATCGAGGAACTAGAGTTCTTTCAAGATCACGTAGATTTAGGGTAACAAGGAATTGAGCCCTAATTAACTTAGAAAGAATTGATTGGCAATATTTTAAGAAATAATTCTTGACAGTTTAATTCATAGCATATAGAGAATATTGGGGAAAGTCGAAACCTTAACTACGCTTGTTTTAAATTCTTAATCAATCATCTTTTCAATTGTTTTTTTATTCTGAATTTTTGTTTGCATGATATTAATTGTTTTCAATTCTCTTAATCCCAATATTGATTGTCCAACTAAACCGTGATTAGCGAACTAGTGTTTGAAAACTCAATCCTCGTGGAAACGATCTCGTACTCAATACACTTTATTACTATTACGATCGGTGCACTTGCCGAGTCGCAACATTGGTTTATGGGAACCACTTAATAACAATAAACAAGTTTTGTATGAGTTACAATTATATTTTTTTAATCTTGTTAAATATGGAATTGATTTTAATGTAAATACTTGTTTAATGAGAAGAAAAAAGTTTGACCGTATTTTTAATTCAACTGTTGCGATTATAACTGCGCTTAATATCATATGTGATAATAACAAATCGAGTCGACACAGGGTGTCAAACCGGGTCGACATGATGTGTTACAAAACTGATATTGGAGATTTTGTAAATTCCAAGTCTCTTGTGTAGAGTTTACATATGATAAAATTGTAAGGAGTTTCATTTATGTGTGATAATAGTTTTTTTTTTTTTTGGTAAAAAAAAACCGTGTTTAATACTTTGAAACCCAAATACAAACTTTACCCGAAATTTTAAGAAATGGCATAATTTAGAAAATTTTCTATTACCATTGATAGCAAAACCGCAATGACATATCAATATACATAAAGCCCTGGCTAACAATGCTGAACAAATTATCCTTCCTGGAACAACCTAAATTTATCTATCATATCATTTACAAAATGAGAAGGAACAAAATAAAAATAAAAATGGAAGCAATCGCTAATAGCATTAATATCTCAAATTCATATATTGAGATCAAACCTAGGTTTCTTTATGAATGGAAACGTAACAACCGAGTCACACCTTGGACACTTGGGATTGTTCTTCATTATGAATACATACATTAAGCAACGAGAGCACCCTGCAGGGATCAGTGTCGGTGAAGACAACAACTTATCTTGGCATTCTTCTACTTGGTTTTCTCCTACTGGAGAGGAACATGAAGAAGATGGCGATGGCAAAGATGATGATTTCCTCTTCCTTTTTTCCTCTTTCTCTTCTCTTTCAAGTGCTGAGTTCACATTGTCAAACACACTTAGATAATTGCTTGATGACAATGAAGATGAAACCAGCTTCAAGTCCAGGCATGTTTCCTCAAAAAGGTCCAAAGGCACTTTGGATGAAGGAGTCAAATTTAGGCCTTGGTGTTTTGGACCTGCTTTATTCATTCGGAGTTTGTGCTCAGAAACAGAAGGTGAACCTAATGTGTTGCGCCTCTGAATGTGTAACTTCCCTGACTGCAATGTTTGGCAATGAATAATGATAACCAACAAAAACCCATTACAACTCATCTCCGTTCAAAAATATATAAATCTTGTTATTCCAATATATATATATATATATATATATATATATATATATATATATATATATATATATATATATATATATATATATATATATATAAACTGAATAATAAATGAGTTTTCCATCCATCCTAAAATTAGCGATTCAAACATGACTTAAATCTAAAAAGAAATTATTTTTTCTTTTATGAATTCTGTTAACAAAAATATTCAATACAAATATAACTGAAGGTGATACCACACACGATAATTTTGCAGAGGGGTATCATGACATAGAAAAATACTCTGAATATCTGTGAAACGGTGTTATTGCAGAGAAAGCTGAATCCGGATATGGCTCTGTTTTGTGAGAATTAAATGCAAATGCAACAAATTTGATTTATTGTAGACCTGCTATGACACTAAAAAGCTAAAGTTGAGTAAGAAGGGAATAAGAATATGTATTTGATATTTTTTAATATTATCAACAAAGCCCGACATAATTAATAAATAGTTGAGTTCTTTAAGACTCACAGTTTTTAATCCTAGCTATGTATATAGAAAAAACTATGCACCACTAAGGATAGCCCAGTGGTGTTGGGTGTGTTTAGGGTATATTAGGTGTGCGGTTCGATTCTGTGTAATGTTCAAAAAAAAAAAAAAAAATTATCTTGTATATAGAAAATGTTTTATTGGTAGAGATTGTACCCATGATTGCGTGACCTCTTCGTCACAAGGGGATTAGGCCTTGACTTTTGGCCGGGGATTAAAAAAAGAAAAAAAATACTACCCAAAATCATCTTGTCTTAATCTTTGAACTTTCCCGAATCAAACTAATCGTAAAATGATGAATAGATGAAATATTTCCAAAAAATTAACACAGCCAAAAAAGGAAATTAAAAACAATTACTACTGTGTCCAATAAAAAAACTATTACTAATAGTCTAATATCAAAGCAAAGAAATTTTTTAAATTTTTTTCCATTTAATTATAACTTCTTTCTCTCCAGTTTCTCAGCAACCAATCACAATACCATGATAAAAAATCACAAAACTTCTATCAAGCATTCCATAACAAATCGTCAAAAAAAAATTAATTCATTAAGTCTAAGGAAAAAAAATTCATAAATCACAAAATAAAGAACAACCAGTTTGAAGAAATTCACAGCCACAAACGACAACAAAACAATATGAATGAAAAAACAGAACAGAATCAATGAAATTTATCTTTTTTTTTTCTTTTTTCCTAAATAAAGATGCCAATGACGAGAACTATGAACTTCAGCTTTTGGAACAAATTAAAAACGAAGAGTTTTTTTTTTTTTTTTTTGTCTTCCTAATTTCCAAGAATTGATATATTCGGGAAACAAACAGCAACACAGTGAGTTGAGTCTATATAAGATTTGAACGTACCTTAAGGTCTAAGCGCTTCTCCCAGCCAATGGGTTCGTTCAAGTCAAAGTCCAACTCCTTGGTTTCAATGGAGGAGGACCCACCAAGCAGATCAAGAGTAACCAAAGTCTTTGGTTTCTCACTGTTTGATTCATTCTCCACCGTCAGATGCTGCTCAACCCCACCTAGAACCTCAACCAGAGACCTCGCTTCGCCAGCCATTGATGCGTGACTACCACTTCTTTTGTTTGACAATAAAAGAAAGTATGTTAGAGAGACGTATGACTGCATGAATTTAGACTCGCTCGTTCTTTTATAACCAAAGTCGAGGGCACGTTAATTCTTGTATCAAATCTTAATAATTGATTTGCTTTAAAGGTATAATAAATCATAATCTTTAAATATAAATAGGACCAAACATTAAGATTGAAAATATGTAAAATAATTAATTTAATGCGTTACAAAATTAAATGAAAAACAAAAAGTAGTTTTCTTAAATTAAAATGAAAAAGAAGAAGAAAGATATTATATCTTGATAGACTCTTTTCTTGGTTTCACTATGATGAAAATTATTTTGTGTATCTCTTAATTATTACGAATTGATATTAATTGATTTCTCAACTATAAAAATAATATCTCAGTCTAGTTTCCTAATTTAATTCCTTAATCTTGAAGTTTGTTTCTTTGAAAAGGATATTAATGTTTTTTTCGGTTACTCTTTATAATAATCTTTGAAGGAATTAATAATCGTAAAAATTATTTAATATACTTCATTGATTGCATTTGTATTTCAGTATGACTATAAATAAGTTGGAAAAAATGTTCCTGCAATTAATGCAGATAAGTTATCTGCATTTATTGTCAAAACGACGTCGTTTTAATATTGAAATCTTAAAAAATTATAAATATAAAAACTATTATAACCCTGAAATAAATTAAAAATACAAAAAACATCATAATTTTCGTCCCAAAATGACGTCGTATTAGGCTTTCTGCAGTAACTGCAGAAAAAACGAACTCATATAAGTTTGCTTAAAAAATTACAGAAATGATATAAATTCTATGAATATACATATATTTATAATAGTTTGCTTAAAAACTATTATAACCCTGAAATAAATTAAAAATACAAAAAACATCATAATTTTCGTCCCAAAATGACGTCGTATTAGGCTTTCTGCAGTAACTGCAGAAAAAACGAACTCATATAAGTTTGCTTAAAAAATTACAGAAATGATATAAATTCTATGAATGTACATATATTTATAACTTATTTAAAAAGTTCTGAAATTGAATTATAAAAAATGTTAGTAATATTTGTTTATATTATTTTCTTTACTATTGAGAGAAATTTTATTTCATTAAAAATAAATCTAGATTATCTCGGTGCAAAATCCGTGTATCATTTAAAGTGTACGTTCTATATTTTGAGATTATACAAATTGAATAATTTGATTGAGTGGGAGGGGAATTGAAAAAGAATAGTATTACGGCCGCAAGTGACGGAGCATTTAATGCGGGGAATGCTAGACAAATTGATGCTTTTATTGGGTAATTTGAAATTTAAAGCCATTGATTTAACTATCCGCTTTCAATTGTCGGTAATACAATTTGTAATATGTCTCTTCTATAATAAGAGACACAAAATTTCTCTTGTATTACCCATTGAAAAATGTGTCTTGACACTATTTTTAACAGTGAATCCCACATAAATTTGTTTCTGCACCAGAAATTTTATCTCTCTTTGCCCAATATAATTATCACGGGTCATGATGATATTGTATTTATTGTATAATTAATTATATATACTATTTAAAAATAAGGGCTTTAACTTTCAAATGTTTTCAAAATCACAAATGAACTTTGGACCTTGCATGAGCATAATTTGGCCTCATTAAACAATCAATTAATTTTTGTAGAATACAGCTTTGACACATATCAGAGGCCGGATGGTAAACCCAATTGTGTTGTACACACTTTTTATAGTTTTGTATTTGTGCTACCCTACCCCTTTTGATAGTCTCTTTCTTGCATTTGGCCCTACTTCAAAATTAATTTGGAGTTACAATTCTTAATTAAAAAATTAGAAAAGATTTTTTTATTACTTTATAATTTTTAATTTTTGAATACTTGTTATTATTTTATACTTTTATTTTAAAATACTATGTCCATTCTAAAAGAATAAAATTCTCTTTTTTTTCTAAAAAAATCTCACCAAAATACTATGTAGCACTAACTAATAATGTCAAAGCATAAGTTTATGCGTGCACCCAACCTCATGCATATCTCAACCTTAGCACATGTGAGATATTTTATGAAATTATTAATGAAGCCAAAGGACCTTCAAAGTCGGAGACTTTGCGAAGCCGATGTCGAAAATAGAAATGTAAATAATGAGAAACTGACACCAAAATAGGAATTTGGACTCTCAAAAAGTGATCATGTGATCATGTTATTTGATGACCACGGAAGATACGTATTAATTAGAATACTAAAAATGAAGGAAATCATAAGGACTTAGGACCATGGTAGCTAAAATCGGAATTTAAAATGTAAAATTTGGATTTTAACGATTTTTTTTTGCCAAAATGATTAGGATTATGTAAGAACTCGCACAGCTAAATAATTAATAAAATAAGAGTATCGATGCCGGAGCATGGATTTGATAACGATTATGTATAATTATGATAAGATAATTATTTAGAAAGCCGAATAATGCTTAAAGTCGCTTTTCGGATGAAAAGTGCATATACCGGTTCTGCTTCGCGGTATAAATGCGTACCGGTGAAGTATCCCGAAAAATTATAATAAGTATGTGAATATTTCTAAAAAAATACCTAGGACCAGAATTTAGTGTTTGGAGTAAGAATAATGAGCGCTGATGTCAGAACTAATACCGGCTACGTATAAAATGCGTATCGGCAAGGTGCTGTGAAAATTATAATAAAAATATGATAATTCCTAGAAAAATGGCTAGGTTTAAAATATTAAGTTTGGTAACAAAATGATTAGCGGAGCTATTAAAACTAATATCGATGGATTAATTTAATATGCCTATAAATACTAAAGGGCACAAAACCTAGGTCTGATTCCACATTCTCTACGTAAAGGCTCCCTTGTTGCCTAATTTCTGAACCTTCCTTGCTTCTTGAAGTCTTGACCTGTATGCATGGAAATGAGCCAAAAACCCACCTTTTACATTGATTCTTCCTCATTGATCTTGTAAACACTGAGTAGTTAGCATTTTGAGGGAGAAAGGTAATCCATTTCTGAGTTATAGCCACTGAGTTGTGGGGGTTGAGGGCTGACTTCCTTGGTTGTGGAGTGGAAGCCATTTTCTTTGCACTTGTGACTTCAAGAAGTTATCTTTTGGTGTAAAGAACCAAGCTTGTGGATCATTTTCATGGCCTCATACTAGCAGCACAGTAGAGTGGTATAGAAATCACCAAGACATCTCTTTTTTCTGTTTTCACACGCCTTAAGGTAACCTATGACCATTTCCCTTGAAATTTCATGATTTTATCTTGTTTGAGTCATTAAAAAGGGGAACTTTGATTATTCAAGTTAAGGGTTGTTAATCTATGCATAATAAGTGGTAATAAACTTCTGTTTGTGGAGATATTGGACTCAAAATCGTTGGAGGACCCTTAAAATTGAGTTTATGCAGAAACTGCACGAGTTTCTGCATTCTGTCTGAAAAGTATTCGAATACTTTTCGTGGAGTTTTCGAATACTTGCTTGGTATTCGAATACTTATCAGGGAGTATTCGGATACTTTAGTGAAAGTATTTGGAAACTCAGTAGTATTCTAATACTGTAGTAAAAGTATTCAGATACTTTTGGTATTCGAATACTTTAATGAAAGTATTGGGATACTTTTCGGGGAACATGAAGTATTCGATGAAACAAGTTGGTCCTTAAATACAACATAGAACCTCAATGAAATTCTAGACTATGTATATTGAGGATGTGAATGATATGAAAACAGATCCGTGACCTTGCTGGACATTGTTAATACTTGTGACCCCTTGGACACCGAGTTGTGGGGGAGGATTTAGCTTGACAGGTAAGCTTTCGTGTCCTCGGTTTTATCCATTATTGGTTCCACCATACCTCATGGAGGGATGGTTTATATACATGATGTGTTTTCTAAAATAATGTGAAGAATATTTGATATGCTATTGAGCTGTTTTGTGAGTGCATTGTCATATGATATCTATGTGGGGTATTCCACCTAGACAAAAATCCCTAAGTATGTGAAGACATACAAGATGGTAACTCCATGGGTGAGGTACAAGAGTACTGTAGGTAGTAGACGTACGTAATTCCTACCTTTTATTCTCTGGCCAGTAGGATGCATACACACATGACATAGACATGTGATGTATTGCATGGATATTGATATTATAATGTTATCATCGTTTTGAACTTATATTGCACGTGTAAGTGAGCTTGGGGTGAAGAGATCTTTGAGGACCCCTTGTCTTACTGAGATTTCTTTTTAGAGATCTCACCTCGTGTGGGGCACATTTTCAAGTACAGGTACCTCTGAGGTTGAGACCTCTGGCGGCAGGAGGTCGGAGTTGAGCTGATACGATGCATGCTTCTTTATTGCCATATTTTCATATGATTATGCCTCATTATCATTATATGGCTATTGTACTTATGACATGATTGACTATGTTGTTTTATTTAGTGAGCATGGAGGTTGTCCATGCCACGTTGGTATAATCTATGTTTATTTCAGACTCAAGTTGTAATACTGTGTCAGGATATTGTCTGGTCTACATGTTGTAGTTCCATGACTTGATACTTGTTTATATTATGAGGTCATTAAGTGTAGTTATTTATTGCAATTTACATACAGGCGATATTTTGAAAAAGAATAAGTAAATCCACTTGGTTAATATGATAAGGTTCATAATTGGAAAATTTTAGCTTCCGCATTTACTGAGCTGCGCTATTACCATTTATATGTTTAATACATCGGGTGCACACATGGTGTTACTTTTTATGGTATCAGAGCACTTTCTAGGGAAAAAGTCTGTATGTATTACAATGACTTAAGATGCCTTGTGAGAATTATCTTATGACTTTTGTTAGGTTTTACTGTGATAATGCATGCGTGGTCACATTGTGTGGGCCTGATCAACTCATCCTTTGTGTAACATGTGCAGAGTTATGGCACCTCCTAGGAGATCTCGGGAGACAAGCGAGGGTAA